TATGTGTATTGGTATGCAGTTTCCCCTTAACTCTATATTGTTTGAGGTTGTGGGAGGGACTGCAGACCATGTGATCAGATCTGGGACTATTCAGACTGAGACTCCACTGAATATGCCTTAGAGAACTCACTGTTTAAACTTTCAGCTGATAAGCAATGTACCGGTATGCTGAATGCAGAAAGTTTTTAAGTAAATCAACTGTGTTATTTGTAATGAAGAATACTTATTTTTATCTCTCGAGAGCATGATTTAAAACCAAATTTATTTTTATGGGAGAATAGATAGGTTTTTCGGCACTGAAATAACATTTCTGAAGATCTGTTATATATTTTGTGCATTAGCATAAACTTTGTTCCTAACAGTTCAAAGACATAACCAGCTATATCAGTCTAACAACTGAGAAACCTAACTTCCTTGCATAAATACAAGTGGATAGAAAAGATTCAGTCAAATGAAGAAAAGAAGAAAAAGATTCAGTCAAATGAAGAAAAGATTCAGTCAAATGAGTTTTTAGCTCTTCTCTGGAAGATGATACTTTACAAAAAGATTATGATTATTTCAAATGGCGTGAATGCCAATTAATCCCCAAAAGGTCACACTTCCAAAAGGCTATGGAGATTCTGGCTTTCCAAAGGGTTATGATCTCAAAGGTCATCCTTTTTCAAAATTACACCAATCCCTTAAAAGAGATACGGACACATACCTAAATTCTAATAATAAAACGGATGCAGATACACCCAATTTCATGAAAACATTTCATTCATATTTTTAAAAAGATGTGATGTATTGCTTATTTCACATATTATCAAAAATTTCTCATTAGATTCATGGGGCACAGCTACACACTGCAGCCAACTTATTGATCTGTTGCAACACCCAGTTCAGAATGCTCTGATTTAGTGGGTAACCCTGGATGAATCTTCTTACCTGCCTCAAACACAAAACTGCACACATCCTGGTGGTATGTGTTCTTCCTGTTTCTAACCTCAGCAATCTACCTGTCTTTTCTTACCAGAAAAGAACTGTCATGGCAGAAAACACTGAGGACCCTTCCAGACAGGCTCTATATCCCAGGATTTAATACCAAGTTTTGTGTTTATCCCAGATTATCTGGTGGGGACTAATGTAATCCAGGTTAATGCAGAGAACCTGGGATCAGATCCTGGGATATAGGGCCTGTCTGGAAGGGTTCTCAGTGTCTAATACAGTGTTTCTCAACCTGGGGGTCAGGAACCTTGGGGATTTCAAGAGGAGGTGTCAGAGGGGTCTCAAGGAGGTGTCAGAGGGGAACTCAAGGTCCATGCCCACCAGTATTTTCTGTTGGTCTTGGGAGTTCTGTGTGCCAAGTTTGATCCAATTCCATTGCTGGTAGGGTTCAGAATGCTCTTTGATTGTAGGTGAACTATAAATCCCAGCAACTACAACTCCCAAATGTCAAGGTCTATCCCCCCCCAAATCCACCAGTGTTCACATTTGGGCATATTGAGGATTCATGCCAAATTTGGTCCAGATCCATGAGTGTTTGAGTCCACTGTGCTCTCTGGATGTAGGTGAACTACAATTTCAGAACTCAATGTCAATGCCCACCAAACCCTTCCAGTATTTGCTGTTGGTTATGGGAGTTCTGTGTGCCAAGCTTGGTTCAATTCCATCGCTGGTGGAGTTCAGAATGCTCTTTGATTGTAGATGAACTATAAATCCCAGCAGCAACAACTCCCAAATGACAAAATCAATCCCCCCCAACCCTACCAGTATTCAAATTGGGGTGTATTGGGTATTTGTGCCAAATTTCATCCAGTGAATGAAAATACATCCTACATATCAGATATTTACATTACAATTCATAATAGTAGCAAAATTGCAGTTACGAAGTAGCAACAAAAATAATTTCATGATTGGGAGTCACTACAACATGAGGAACCGTATTAAGGGGTCATGGTATTAGGAAGGTTGAGAAACACAGGCCTAAAATGTCTTTTGATGGATAGCAGTCCCAAGCACACCTGTTCTGGCAAATTGAGATGCTGAATTGGGCTTGTGTCAAGGCGACACAGGGGAGGATTTCCTGCCCCAAATCCCCAGGCCTTTGCGATGCTGCAGAAGGAGGCCAAGAAGCAGCATTTCAGCCTGGCCTATCAGTGAGTCATGCCAAGGGGGTGCCAAGCAGAGGTAGCTAGCTAGCAATCTGAAATCATCCTTTGGCGTAGAAGCTGGTAGAAAAGAGGCCTAGAAAGGAGGAAGGCCCAGATCCTCTTGCAAAGGCAGGCCTCTTTGTAATTCACCTGCACACAAAAAAGGAAAGGTGGGCGCTGCCAATGACTAACTCCCCCTTCTAGAGCAGCCCCTTCTTTGGACTCCTCTAGTGCCAGTCTCTTCCTGGCTGGAGAAGGGGGTCAAGGGAGTGAGTGCTCATCTGCCTCCTCCTTTGCTCTGCGATAGAAAACAACCAGGCTCCCTCCTTCCTCCTCTCCAGTCCTTGGGAGGGGGAGAAATCCCCAGGTAGAAAGAGCCCCTCCATGCCCGCCCTGGCATCCAGACAGGGATGTCGGGGGCTTCCTTTGCCTCCGACACACCGCCCTCCCCTCCTCCCTGGATCCTCCTCGTGAAGGAAAACGGGAAGGCGCCGGATCTAGGGGAATAGGCGCGACCCCCGCAGCCCCCCTTCCTTCCCTCCCTCCCTCCCTCCGCCCCGCATCCTTCTTTGGCCGTGCAGCCACCTACCGCCTGCCTCTCCCTTCATGGCGGGGCTGGATCGGGATGCTCAGGCCCCCCGTGAAGCTGACTGGGGCGTGGGGAGGGGGGAAGGAAGGGTGGGTGGGATTGGGATGGGCTGGTTTGGTCCAAAAGCGGTCCCTCCTCCCCGTCCCCGCGTCTCCGGTGAGCAGAGAGATTGCGGGAAGGAAGAAGGAAGGAAGGGAGGAAAGAAGGAAGGGAGGCGAGCAGGGCTGGCTGGCTGGTTGCTGGCTCTCGCTCGCTCGCAGTCGCCCAGCAACAGCTGTTCCCCGCCAGCCAGCGAGAGAGCCAGCATCCCCGGCACCGAGAGGCAGAGATGACACGCGCAAACGGCGCCTCCTGCTCCCTCCACGGGCCCCTTCCCCCTGCGTACACCAGACCCCCCCCCCCCATGCCTTCCCTCCTCGGGCGGAGTCCCCTTCTCCGGAGGCTTTGACGCAGAGGCTGGGTGTCGGGGGCTTCCATGGGGCCCTTCCTGCATGGCACAAGGTTGCACCCCGTGGCCCTTCGGGGTCTCACCCAACTCTAGGCTCTTCCTTGGCCCCTTCCTCACCCTCCACCCCACTCAGCTGCAGCAAGGAAGGGAAACCTGTAGTCACCTCTGTCCTCTCACTGCCATGCTCTCCAATTTGGGTAGGAAGCAGCAGGAAAGGGGGAAGACCACATCAGGCATGGATCAAGGAAGCCACAGCCCTGAGCCTGTAAGACCTGAACCAGGCTGTTGAGGACAGGGTGACCTGGGGTCTATCTAGGACCTCATTACATTGGAGAATGAGTCCACTTTACATCCGATTGCTGCCTGCTGCAGAATTCCGAGGCTTGTAGTTTAGGGAGGAGACTTTAACAGCCTTGGCAAACTACAAACCTCAGAATTCTGCAGGATCCAGGAACCGGATTTAAAGTGGATTCATTCTCTAGTGCAGTAGTTCCCAACCTTACTTTGACCAGGGACCACCTTGACCAGAGACCACTCTGACCAGGGACCACCTTGACCAGGGACCACTTTGGGTTAGGGTTAGTACCAAAAATCAGATTCGGTTTGGGGTGCCGATTCAGAAAATAGCACTGGAGAGACCACATCAGCTCTAGTTTCTGATACACAACAGACACCACTGTCAGCAACAGGGAAGGAGTGGCAGGCAGTGTGAAAGTAGTGGAAATAAAATAAAATAAATAAAGAAGGAGGCTCGTGGACCAGATTTTCATCCTCACAGCCCACTTGTAGTCTGTGGTCCACAGGTTAAGAACCACTACTCTAGTGTGATGAATGAATGCATCTGACACCACTTTAGCTGCCATGGCTCAATGCTATAGAGTCCTGGGAGTCATTTGAAATATGGCAATGGAAAAAATAGCTATGGATACCACAAATTACTAAAAATACAAAGAGATGAGTCCTAGAACAAATCAAGCCTGAACTCTCCCTAAGCCAAGATTACAATACTGAGGCTATCACACTTTGGCCATATCATGAGAAGGCATGACTCACTAGAAACAACAACAACTGACAAATAGCAGCAGAGGTGGAAATAATGAAGAATTTGTTAAAAAATGGCGGTTGGCAATTGGATATCTTGAAAAGAAGACAAAAGTAGATTTGAAGATCGCCATAAAGGGGATTCAGTGAAAGAAGATACGTGGGTAGTTGTGGATTAGTTATGTGATCCATACGGAGTGGTGTCGGAGGTCACAGGGGTTGGGTTCACGGGTGTGGGGTTAGAGGGACAATAAATGTTAATGTATTATAACTGTACAGTCAAAGTTGATTATTTATATGTTTAAAGAGCACTGACTGTGTATCATTCTGTAAACTTGCATACTCTTTTGTATATCTTCCCCCCCCTTTTTTCTGTTTTTTTTCTCTTTCTTTTTTGTTTTTTACTTATTTCGGTTTTCCTTTGGTGTCGGTTTTGTTTTCTGTATGCACCATAAACCAATAAAAAATTTTTTTTTAAAAAGAAACAACAACAATGCATGGTAAGGTAAAAAGTAGCAGGAAAGGAAGAAGACCACATTACAGATAGATCCAGGAAACCACTGCCCTGAATCTGTAAGACCTGAACAAGGCTGTTGTGGATAAGGTAACCTGGGTGTATCTACAATATAGAATGAATGCAGTTTGACACCAGTTTAACTGCCACAGATCAATGCTATGGAGTCCTGGGAGTAGTAGTTTGGTGAGGCGCCCACACTATTTGGCTTGATTTGTTCTAGGACTCATTCTGTTGTATTTTTAACAATTTGTGGCATCCACATATATTATTTCCATTGCTGTATTTCAAATGAGTTGATTTACTTAGACTCACGGGAAAGAGACATTAAAATTGGAGGGATGAACATGAACAATTTAAAATATGCAGATGACACCATATTACAAGCAGAAAATGACTGAAAAAAATCAAGAAAGAAACTGTAAAGGCAACTTTACAGTTGAACATGCATAAAACCGAAGTCATGACCCCAGGTGATTTACATAACGTTATATGATGAAGTCATGCTCTGGAACAGTCTACTCAGGGGGGAGGGAAGGAAAGCACATGCTTTGTATGACTGCAAGGATATACAGTCATGTAAAGGTGCACATTTTTTAAGGAGGAATAGGGTTTTAACCACATCTTTTTTAACACATACTTTTCAGCTGTTAGCCTGATTCTGCCCACACTTTAGCTAAATGTCACCTCCCCCCCCCCACACACACACTATTTATCCCGGTTACTTCTGAGGTTTTGGCCCTGTGTAGAAGGGCCCTAAGATGCCTAGATCCCTTTCACGTGTATTGTTTTCAAGCCAGATGTCACCCATCATATATCTGTGCATTTCAGTTTTTTTGCCTAAGTGTTGTACTGTTTATAGAATCTGCCATTGTGCTTTGCTACTCTGCTGCTGAGTACACATGCCCATTGTAGAACACATCTCACCACACCAAAACAGTGGATGTGGCTCTTAATGAGACATGCTGCATGATCACTTCAGAAATTACACTGTCTAGCCAGTATTGCACCACCTGACATCCGCTGGGAAGTAGCAGCCAATAATGAAAGGACCAAGGCATTGATATCTCTGGCCCTTCCCCTGTTTGGATACCAGCCAGCACGCCAATGCCTTAAATCAAGAAATAGTTTTCTAAGATCTACAGAGATACTCAAAGGAACACCTCAGCAAGTGAGAGTCCAAACGTGGCAGGCTAAAATCCATGGCTGATACCAAATGAGAGACTCCTCCTGGGCACACAGAAGACTGGGCAACTTGGAAGGCGCTGAACAGACTGCGCTCTGGTACCACCAAATGCAGAGCCAACCTTAAGAAATGGGGCTACAAACTGGAATTCATGACATGCGAATGTAGAGAAGAGGAAAACACAGACCACCTATTACAATGCAGCCTGAGTCCTGCCTCATGCACAATGGAGGGTCTTTTTGCAGCAACACTAGAGGCATTCCTGGTGGCTAGCTACTGGACATTTAATTGCCAAGTTTTTAAACTTTGTGTTTTCTCAAATACATTCGTTCGCTCCTGATACGATAAAAAATAAAATACTCTTTATATAATCTATATAAATAAAAATGTCATGTTCATTTGTGGGATTAACATGACTCAAAACCACTGGGCGAATTGACACCAAAAATAAACTACAATATACCTCCCAGGTCAACAAGGGACCATCACTCATAAAACACTGAAAAACACAGCAGCAGAGACTTAAAAAGCCAAAAAGAATTTTTTAAAAACCACACACACACACACACACACACAACACATATACACAGACTGGGCCACAGCATCGTGTGGCAGGGGATGGCTAGTTATGTATAAATCCAGATACTTTAGTCAAAATTAGCGTATCCATGGATCAATGTAAACATTGTACCTTAATTCTGTTTTTAAGGAACCATCCCCTTCTCTGAGTAGAATAGTGAAAGGTGAGAGGTTAATCCATCCCAGGAGTACCTAAAAGAAGTACCAATCCCCTCTACTTTCCTCCACAGCACTACTTCTGGTCTTTTTGAATGCTTGACATTGGCAATAAAATGTCAGCGGCTCTTTCAAAGGAGTGCTGAGAGTAGATGGGGTTGATGCTTCTTTTAGGCTCTCTTGTAATATGCTAAGCTCTCACCCATCACCACTGTAGTCAGAGAAGGGGGTGGTTTCTTTTGATATGAGTTAATATTGGGGGGGGGCATGCCTTTTTGAATGTCTAAGGTGAGAAAATGATGGTGGCAGTGGGCCAGGGCATCTCTCCACAGAATTACCTTGACTTATTCATAGATCATGTCAAAATCTCTAATTTTGCTCCAAATGTGCTGTCAACTTACACATGAGAGTGATTTATATCCAGGTATATGTGGTACCTTATATTTCTCCCTGTTCAAATTCATTTTGTTGTTTTGGTTTTGGAAAGCTGTGAGATGTCCACAGTAGCAGTGGGTATGAATGTTTACACTTTATTGACTGCACTAGTGTCTTTGCAACTGTCACGAAGAGGGTGAGGAGGTGAAAGGTCAACACCATTTAAGAAGAGGAGGACCCAAGGGCACATCCTGTAAACAAGAGTACTTGTGCAAATAAAGTGAGATGCGTGCAGATCTAAATGTGCTCAGTACAAGTCATATAAATGGACACAGAACAGATGCAGATTCCTCTCCAAACTGAATTAAGCTTATTAGATTTTAGCTCTTAGATATTGTGCTTCAGACTAGTTTATGCAGTCTGAAGGTCTTAGAAGGACCATGGCATTAAATAACATATTAATGCCTCCAAAATATTAACAGGAGAAAATAAATATATATATGCATGTCCACACTGTCAAATAGACATATATTTTAAAAAATCTTGCAGAGGAGTTCATACTTCCCTTCATCCCATTTATTCATAGGAATATGTTACTATGAGGCAGAACTATGCTGCAGGCAATCCCATCTCCTTATACGATCTGACAACTGGAAAGTGAGACTCCACAGCAAAATCTTAATTCTACACCAGTCAATGAGAGTTTATGAATGTCTGATATGACATTGGCTGGCAGGGTGAAGGTGTACTAGAATACATAGAGAACAATAGTCTTTATTTATGCAATATTTGCATCCACTGAATTCCAAAATACGAAATACCCCAGAATCCAAAATTGTCCACCTGTATGACTCAGAGAGAGGCACCCATGGCACCCATACACAAAGTTTGTTTCATGCACAAAATCATTAAAATATTGTGTATACAATTAGCTTCAGGAAAAATGAATGAATTTCACTTCTAGATTTCGGTCTCATCTCCAAGATATCTCATTATTTATGTATATGCAAATACAAGTATCCCCAAATCCTCACCTCCCCATAAGAGATAAATTCCAAATCCTTCTGGTCCCAAAAATTCAGATGATATTCAACCTGTAATAGTAAGGAAACTATTATACTAGGCTGTGTATTTATTTTAACTTGTGTATGCCAGTTTTCATCTCACACAAAACAGCTTACAGTTCAAAGGAGGTGACAATAAGATGCATGTATTTGCATCAGGTCTCACTGAGAGAATCAAAGTTCACAGTCATCTGTCACCGACATCAGTGGGACATTATAATTCTTCTTTGAATGATCACATAAACCATATAATTCAAGAAGACTGAGGGAAAGTTTCAAGCATATTAAAATGGAAGTGTTTTTTTTAAAAAAAAAAATCTCTGCCTATCCAGTGGCATATCATGAGGGAATAAATCCAATAAGCAATACAAAAAGTAGATTCTAGAACATTCTCAATTACTTTTTGGACTAAATTCAGTCTGCAGCTGTTGGTTGCTTTGTTTTCTTTTCATGAGCACATTAGTTCCCTGAAATGCTTGTTGTATAAGCACATCCTAAGGGTTTGTTTCCAATTACTTTTCCATGCTACCGATTATCTTGGACCTGTTCACTCAATGCCATCTGAATCTTTCACAAGATAAGGCTGCAGCAAAACATATTGCTCATGAATTTCTTGGGGCAGAAGGCAACCAACACACAGAAGGAAGACTTTCCCTTTTTTGCTGTTATTTTGTTTTTCGAAATAGCCTCTCGCCCACTTTGGATCAGATGGCTGTCCAGGGAAAACTTTTCCACTGAAAGAGAAATTATTCCCCATCACCTCATTCCCACTCCTTTCAGCCCATCAGCAACAAAATAAATATATATGACTCTCATTACAGTCTCATAAATGTGTTTTGATATAGAAGCAGGTCTTCAGTGACCAAAATGACATAGGCAAAAGTTTAAAAATTCAATTATTTACTTTTCCAACTAATTCTAGAGCTGGGATTTTAAGACTACAGCACTGGGTATAATGTCTATCTGTTTTGCTGCCATTGGTTGTAGAGAGTTATTTTTAAACATTCTGGAAATGTTACATCTCTCTGAGTCATGGATGTAAGCCTAATAACTGTAATGTTTTCTTAACTGTTGTCATATATTATCTGTACTGGTACGCTGTAAGTTAAAGATTTGTTCATACTAAACTGTTTAAGCTTTTGTGTAGATGACATCTCAGAGCTTTGCTGACAGATTTCAACTTCCATTATGCTAACATCTGGCATTTTGTTTGCAGCAAAGTCCAAAGTGACAAGGAGGCAGCTTAATTCAAGTATCATAGCAGTATTAAGAAACATTAATCATGGTTTGGTTTAATTACAGAACTGTGATAAACCAATAAAACTAAAATCAGAACCTTTTCACTGACTGAGTTAACAAACTATGGTTTTTGCAGCAAAGATACTGTCATGCAGTGGAAATAGGAGTGAACTTAGGATAACAAATGAAGCCAAAAGACCAGAAATGGAAAGTTGTGAAGGTGTGCAAACAAACGTCTGGTTTAGCTGCTTTTGTTTGAAAGTTCAAATCAGGATGCGATATGTGAACTGAACTATTGACACAAGGCCACTTGAGATGGCATAAATGTGTATTTCCTGTGTTAAACAGAACTATAAAGGACAGATCACAACCTCTGCAGAGAAATGAGGCTAGCCTTCCAAATCCACTATTATACTGCTGTCTCAAACAAATTCACCTCCCAATGCTTGACTTCTCGAAGAATAGATTTGTGTTGGAGTGACAGACTGGAATGAATAGATTTAACCCCCCCCCCCCCATGTCCTGATCAGAGGCAGCATTGCATAGCGGTTTAATGTTGGACTAGGACCCTAGGAGGTTAGAGGTTAAATATCTGCTTAGCCATGATACCAGTTGGGTAGACTTGAATAAATCACATTCTGCCACCTTTGGAGAAAGGCAATGGTAAGCTCCTCCTCAATAGATCTTGAAGAGAATCCTATGATAGGGTTGCCATAAATTGTGGGTTTTAAAAAAGAAAAATTGACATAAGGAATGTGATTATGTATTTCATGTAATGCCCAGATTTCCCCTGAAAAGGAACTGATGTGTTCCTTTTCAAAATTTGGAATCATTACTACACCAGCAAAAATGAATACATATTGCTTCACAGATTATACTGTATTTGAGTTGTGTGTATGTATATGTTCAGTGCATCCCTAAAATTGTAAAATGTGGGTGCATCACAAACACAGGTCCAAACCACATTTGTGCCATCTCCAAATCTCAAGTGGCCTGTGTCAGTTGTTCAGTTCACATATCACATCCTGGTTTGAACTTTCAAGCAAAGAGTTTCCAACCTTGTTTAAAACCTTGTCAGGCTTGAATGTGCTGCCATTTGATATGGGAAACCCACCTAAAATAGTTCTGATTCCAGAGTTGTTGTTAGCTTGATAACTATGAAGGTAATCCTGAACAGCTTTTTATTAGAAGCAGAAGTGGGGAAGAGAATAGGGAGTCTTTCTTTCTTTCTTTCTTTCTTTCTTTCTTTCTTTCTTTCTTTCTTTCTTTCTTTCTTTCTTTCTTTCTGCTAGTCTGAAGAATTTGAAGCATTCACCTGAAATCTTAATGTTACACTTGGAAAGTGCTATTTGCATTTTCTGCCAAGCCAGAGAAACATACATTTCCCTTGGTCCCTTTGCCACGATTATCTCAAAACCTCCATTAATCAAAGTTCACTCAAGTGCACTTTCTTCAAAAGCTTACCATGTCTGTCTTTTAAGAATGGGGCCGTTTGCTCAAAACTGTGAACAGGATACTTTATTATGTCAAAATAAACCATCTGGCTGTACAACTGTTTCTAATTACTTCCCTGCCTAGACTGTAAACTTTGGGGTTTGGCACCAGCCTTTCCTTCCAGGATGCTGACCAAATCCAGCTTCCAGGCAGCTAATCAAAGGCACTTGGTGGAGAACAGAGGGAAGGAGCCGGTTTTTGCCAGCTCAAAACTCTGCAAGCCCACTGGATTTCGGACTCTCCAGTTGAACTCCTCTCTTACAACTGTCCTGGGATCCAACCATGTCTACACAGGGGCTCCTCAGCATGGTGCTGTTTCTATCCATGACTTCACTCTTCATTCTGCTGCCGACTGTTCCACAAAGTTTATCCCTTTCCCTGCGGTAAGAGCCTTTGTTTTCTTTAGCAATTAGCTTTATTGGATCTGGGTAACAGGTTGCAGCATGCAAGTGGCATGATCTCTCTCTGTGTGTATGTTCGTAATTCCCTCCCTCCCCATTCTTCTTCATCCTGCTGTTTGCCTCTGTTAAATTAAACAAGGAATAATGTCTGCTCCAAATGTGATTTAGATATAATTTGCATTTTGACAGAGTCACAGATGTGCATAATACAAACTGTCCCAGAGCAGAGAGATTGGACAGAAATGTGTCTCGAATCTAGAGCTTAGTCCTAATACAATGGACCCTCCTGGATATTCAATAATTCTGTTTTCTCTGGGTTCTCAACAAGTTTTAGTTAGACTGTGTTAATTATAATGTACTGGTGTCACCCAATTCCTCTTGAACTCATTGTCCCAGTGAAAGTTACTCTGCAGAAATCTAAATCTAGTAAGCCAATAAGAAGGAAATGTATACATTCCCATTCTAATTATATGGGGCAAAACTTTCTGTGGAAATGTGGTAGACTTTCTATGATCTGGCATTTGGAATTCCGTTCCTTTGCCCCGATGAAGCAAACATTAGCCCTAGATTTAAACAAAAATGAATAAGTAAATACCTGATTGTGATATGAGTGTGCTAACATATGAAGCACCTATATCAGACATGTTGTCTGATGTGTCAGAATTTAGAACAGTTTTTTTTAGATCTATGGATCTTTTCACACTACCTATTTATAGCACCATTATTCCACCTTTAACTGCCATGACTACATCCTATGAAATCCTGGGGCCTGTAGTTTAGTGAGGCACTAGAGTTCCAGGTACTCCTCCCTAAACTGCAAATACAGGATTCCATAGACTGATGCCATAGCTGTTAAATTAGAATAAAAGTGATGTAATTGTGTAATATGGAAAGGCTCTGTGATTTAGACTAGATTTGGATCTGCCTATTTATTTGCACCTGAAGCGCACTATGTTAATGTGAACAATTTCTGGTCCAACCTACCACAAAGGATTATTAGAAGGGGAAAATACCTTTTCTCTAAGTGTGTTTAGGTAGCATATCAGTGAAGGAAATGTGTTGCAAACTATTTACTCATTTATTTGGTATAGATTAGTGGATCCTGGAGACAACTGTTATTCGAGTCATGCTGAGTTTCATTTCAAGAAAAATATTTAGCATTTTGATTTGATTGTCAGAGCCATAACTTACTATAAATTAAAATTGGGTATCTAAGGGTGCATCGACACTGTAGAAGTAGTGATGTTTGACAGCACTTTAATTGCTATGGCTTATTGCTATAGAATCATGGGAATTATGGTCTTAGAAGGTCTGTGGCCTTCTTTGCCAAAGTGAATCATACAATGTGTGTTCAAATTTTTTTAAAAAAAACAAAAAACAAACCAAAAATCAAAAACAAAAACCACCACCGGCAAGTGAAAGGAGAGCAGTCTCTAGACTTTTGTTAAATAGATGTCACAGCCTGTTAGCAGCCACGTATATACTCTCCAGACTGACTGTAACAGTGCTGGGACTTCAATAAAGGCCTTATTTGTGGATCTTAAAATTCAGACAGATTCATAGAGACTTTCAAATAGTGTGGACTTATAGAATTTTTAAAAGCATAATCTGTTCATTGAATTGTGCCCAGGGCAAAAAAACAACCAGTCAATGCACTAGCCTCCATCAACCCAAGTCCCAAGTAGAGCAAAGTTCCCAGTTTCCAAAGGCAGTCCCATGCAAACTGTACTACAACAGTCCAAACAGGATTTAATCAAGCCATGTGTCACCATAGTCATATCTGACATCTCCAGGAATGGGTGCAGCTGTCATACAGCACTTAACTACACAAATACATGATTGAACACAGCTAAAACCTGGACTTTGAGACTCAGGATTCAGGGTACATCTGAAATTAATGAAGTTAAAAACCACTTTAACTGTCATGGCTCAATGCTATGGCTTCACTGTAGTTTAACAAGGTCTTTAGGTATCTCTGCCAAAGAGTGCTGCTGGTACCTCACCAAACTACAAATCCCAGGATTCCATGGAATTGGGCCATGACAGATAAAGTGGTGTCAAACTGAACTAATTCTATAGTAGATGCACCCTAAGTGTGTCTTCCTAATCATATTTAGACTAATTTGACAAATAATCATAATGCGACAGTTTGTGACTTTGTTTTTTAAAAAACAGTTCCTTTTTTATTCCTCCAGGAGTGGTTTGGGAACAACTTCATCTTGCAAACTGTCCCCCTCTGAGTCTGAACGTAGATGTCGATTCCCAGGGGGGAAACTTTGCAGTGGCAGAGGCCAGTGTGACTGTGGGGTCTGCATCTGCCAAGTGACTGAGCCAGGAAAATACTATGGACCACTTTGTGAATGCCATGAGTGGGTGTGTGAAACCTATGACGGAGAGACATGTGCGGGTAAGCAAACCAAGCTAATCAACAAAGGTTCCACAGCATACTTCCAGTGTGGTCATGCCATCTCTGCATCCATATGAGCCAATGGTGGTCTCTGTCATATGATGGACAACCAAAAGAAAGCCTCTACTGTTGAATTTCTGTCTGAGTAAAAGGCTTTGCAGTGGTTAGAGATGTTCAATGTGAGTAGGTGAAGAAAGCAAAACCTAACTGATTCTAGGCAGGAAGGAGCATAACTGAAAAACCAGTAGGGTAAGAATTAAAATAGCACAATCTGAGGATGATGCCAATGTGCTTAAAGTTGTAGCCTAGAAACCTATTGACTGGAGCAGAATGACAGCAGGGCAAAAACAGCTCTAATTTATCACTGAATGTTTCTCCTATTCTGAATCTTTCAATAGTTGGGACCAAGTTAACTTTCTAGATTTGTCTGTCTTTAGCTGATAGATCTATGTCATACATAATGGTTAGTGTGTTGGACCTATGTTGTCAAAACAGTGGCTGTAATCCTCTTGGTGGAATCAGTTACTATGCCAACTATGGGCATATATTTTTTTTTTTTGGAACAAGGTACAGCAGTATCAGTGACATTAGCTGGATAAACAAGCCTTTGCCATTTAGCTCAATATTCTTTACAGCTTCTGAGGGGGCTAGAAATAAGAACCATGAAGTTGACCTTGAACTCTTTGAAGGTCTTAAGTAATGTAGAGCTTGATGTGTCATTTATTATTGTTACCTATATTACCTCGATTAATTGAATTATTTTAATATTGGATTTATTTACTTGATAATAAATCAATTAGATGCATTTATATATAAACATAAAATAAAATAGTCTCAGGATGCTTCTAGAAAGAAATTTATTCTGGGAGAAAACAAGTTAAAGTAACCCGTTGGGCATTCCAAAATAGCAGACTTTCCCATGCATTTAAAATAAAATAAAACTTACCAGGCTATCATTAAGCCTGTCTGCATGCTTCCTAGAATGTACCAATGCAGCTCTAAGAGACTGGAGGGGGAAATCGTTCCTGCCCTCCCATCTCTTAGTGCTACATTGGTACGTTCAAGGAAGCATGACGAGAGGCCTAATGGTGGCCCGGGAAGTTTTTTAAAAAAATTATTTTAAAGGGTTTTTTTGGGGGGGGGGATTTGGGGGAAGGGATAGGTTTCTCTGAGCCCATGGAGCCCTCATCTGAGCCCTCATTTCTCTGAGCCCATGGAGGCTGAAGAAGCAAATTGGGCTGTGCGGACTGACCTCTTGGTAGTTCCAGGACTACGGAGGGGTCAGTTCCCACAGGGCCCATATTCCATTAGGCCTGGGTCCTTCAGGAAGATCCAGGTCTAATGGGGTATCAAATTAATTCAGGACAAAGCAGGGTTTTTCTGCTTTGTCTCAAATTAATTCAGTTTTACCAGAGATGACATTTGGACACCTCCAGTAAAATGGCTGGAGCTCCTGTCTGGATGGGTCCTCAGAAAATTAGTCTTAACTAAGAGAGACTGTATTTGTTCTGGCAATATGCTGGCCCTTAAATGCCATTGAGTTGTGCACTGCATGTGCTTTGTGTTGACTTTGTTATCCTCAGTTTGTTGTGCAAGAGAATAGGATATATTAATGCAGGTCATCAATGGGCACAAGTAGTGATGTAATTTTCAGTCAGATTGTAAAGTTTGGGTATGTTCATGAAGGGCTCATATAGTAAACACTGGAAAGTATGTTCTGTTGGACTTTTGACTACAGATGCATAGTATCATGTTGACAAGAAATTTTCTGGGGCGATATGGTCTGATGTGTGTAGAATCTGTGATATTGCCTAATACAAAAATGTCAATAAGTTCTGCTCCCCTTTTTATTGCTTAGTTTCTGTTATCAGGATTAAGATATATTTTTAAACTTCTCACTAAGATGAAGTTAGAAGAAAAATACCATTTTCTATGTAGCAAAATACTAGGTATTTATACTCTTTCTAATCACACCTTCTCCTTAAAATCTGTCAATTCTTTTAGGCCAAGCCCCTCAGTTAGATAAGTGGGGATCTTGCAAAGACTGGCATTTGTAACAAATACATTCCAGCAATTAGCAGATTTCATGTGAAAAAAGCAATTTATTTTACCAACAATATGAAGGTCAATTCATGACATGGAGGAAAAGACAACCTACAGTCTGGATGTTAGAAAACAAATGTGGTGCCTTTGACAGTACTGTCTCATGCAAATCAACGGTAACAACAACAACAAAAACAATTGTGTATATTTTGAGAACATTGTCATAATCATCATATCATAGATTATCACTTGTGGCTGAGTATGACTACCCTTCCAAGTGTAGAGTATTGGCAGTGGGTCCATGAGTAACTGTAGAGGCCTATTATTGATCTGCACGTTCTTTCACAGTGTGGCCAGTTATTTTCAGATGGAAGATGGTCCCATCTTTGAGTTTAACATCTGTAGATAGTCCATGTTTTGCAGGCATATAGCAGGCTTGGGAAGACAATAGCGTTATAAACAAGCACCTTGGTCTCCATATGGATGTCCCAATCTTCAAACACTCTCTGCTTCATTTGGAAAAATGCTGCACTTGCAAAGCTCAGGCGATGTTGTATTTCAGTGTCAATGTTGACTTTTTTGGAGAGGTGGCTGCCAAGGTAGTGGAAATTGTTCTAGTACAGCTGTACCAGGAGCCCCAATTTTGTTTGCTTTGCATTGAATGTTTGTGTGCAGTCCTAAGTCTCAGAGACTCTGCAGATAGGTGGCTTCTTTTGGTTGCAGTTATAGGGCAAGCCCCCTGTCCATCATCGTTGAGTTTGGTCCCGCCCCTTGCTCAGGGCAATTGGGAAGGGAAGGGGGCCATTTTTCAGTCTCAGCTAGGAAGTCAATGTACAGGACATGTACAGAGGCTTCAACCCTTAAGACTTCCCGGGGAAGAACAGTCTTAAGAGCATCTAAAGATTCCCAAAGGTTCCAGGGAAACAGCCTTACAGCCCTGAGGAATTTCGGAGGGAATAACAGCTTTAAACACCAAGAACTCCAGCTAAGTGACTACAGGCCTACTGGTACGTTCACTTGGTTTTGAGACGCAGTTCAGCCCGGTAGTGGATCCACATCAGTCAGGTCTAAGTTCACAGTTAGCCTGGGAGGAGCTAGAAAGGGATTTTCCTTGGAAGTAAAGCAAAGAAACAGTTAGAAGCCACCAGTTGCTTGAAGCCTGGAAGCATTTGTTTAATCTCTGAAGACAAAATAAGTTTCTGTTTAATTGTTCATCAATAAAAGACTTTGTTGTATTTAAGCTCAAGCCTTCTAAAGACTGTTTAATGGGGGAAAATTATCTAAGAGCTTCTCTTTGGGCCCCCTGGCTTCCCGTTGGGCTAAAGTTGCACGTCCTGTTTTAAAAGCACTTCGTTTCAAGCCCAGAACGGCGACAGAACAGAAATGGCCAACATTTTCTAATGTTACACCATTAAGCTATATTTCTGGCATTGCAGAGGGATTGGCTGGTGCCTTCTGAAAGAGCACTTTGGTTTTCTTGATAGCCAATGAGAGGCATTGAGAACATAGTACAGAAGACATGAAAATAAAGTTGCCATGCACTGACACATGAATGTGTTAAATTTCTGCAGTTAAGAGGAATGTTCCTGACTACAGAAATTCAACACAGTTCATGTGTCAATGCATAAGTAATTTATGCTTCTTTATTTCCACTTCAGTGTAATCCCTCCCACATTCCTTTGCTTCACTTTTGATTATCTTTGTAAGCTCCTAACCTGTCAGGATTCCACTCTGCTAGGATGTGATGAAATTGTACCTGATTGTCTATGAGGTGATGCTGGCGGACAAAGTTATATCATCCTGTCTTTGAATAGATATGGTTTCAGGGGAAGCAGGAAGAGAATGGGTTACCATTACAGAGGCAATGAGGAAGATGCACTCTGTTTTGTTTGCTGTGTGGCAATGGCTTCAGCTCTAATATAAGCATGCTACCTTTTGCATAAACTCCACTGAATACTGCCAGTACCAATATTTTATCTGAAGCCTAACTGGTAAGTTTTATTACTATTGACTTTCCACCCATAATATTCAATGAAGTCAGTGACATTTTAGTGGAAAAAGAGAAAATTAGGACCTAATAGCTTAACCTACCTACATAGCCAGGTTATAAAATACATGAATCTGTTTCCCCTGAGCTACACAATTTCTCCTTCTTCTTTCTTTTTCTATCTTTTAGGTTGAGGGTTTTATTAGGACAAATGTGTCCAAGATATTGGGATATTTAAATATGTTGAGAATTCTTATCTAACAACACACTCACTATGTTGATGCAACTATCAAGGAACAAAGCACTAAAATTATTTTTTCTATTTCCAGTATAAGGACATGAATAAAGTATTTTGGATTTTGGAGACTCCAAAGTAACTAATGTTGGAAGTCATTATACACCCGCAATATCATCAGTACCTTGTTCTGTAACCATCAACCCTTCACATGCTTTCGTACAGTTGCACAAATTGTGTTGTGAAATATAACATAAAATTTAAAAGTTATTATTATATTTGGTTATATTTGATTTTCAGAAACGTTCATCACTTTATCTACCACATTATCGCTTTACATCACTACAATGGAAGATAAACTATAATGTTACAATCAGAACATTAAAAACAAAGGCATTAAAACATACAAAGAAACAGCACCATGAACCTATGTACGCAAATAGCTAAAGGTTTCCAGCCTCATATGTCTGAACATTGTAGATCTGTGTTGGGCATACTGAAAGCATCTTACATTCTCAGAATTGCTTCTTTCTGAAATGTCTGTAACTGAACTTTGGCACTTCTTGTCACATCATTGAAGCTCATGGAGCAGGAGCAATTTCCATATCATTATGGACGGTGATACAAAAGTTCACTTTGCAGGGCCCTTGAGACTGAAAGTCTTAGTCACTTCATGCACCCTCTGCATTTCCATTTTGTTTGAACTAGACACCTTGAAAGATACCATGAAACATT